AAGACCAGTACCCTGAGGCTGACCGCCATGGCTCCCACTGACAGCCCTTCCATGGCAAACTGGCCCGCTTGCCCTACGTGTTCCCCTTGATGCGATTGCATGACCACCGCAACAGGTCGCTCTTCCTGCTCCGCCTCTCCTCTCCCTTCCGGAGCAGGCCACTCAGTCGCTTCCTCTCTCCTACCCTGCATTTTTTCAAAGGGCATGTTCTCCCAGTCATGACCTTGCCTCCTGTAACGCCTCTCTTGTCTGTGCTTCTTGGGACGCAACGGGGGGTAAGCGCACAAAGGGGGTTTTGGCCGGGGGCGCGAGGGCCTTGTGGGGTGCCCATCCCTCCGACCGAAACTGCTGGGCCTGCTCCAGTGTTTGCTGATCGAGCTGATCCGAAACCCCCGCCGGCATGGGCGGGAAACACGCTTGTGTGTGCTCTCTACATGCGGGTTTGCTGTGGAAGTGCCTCACCAGTCTAATGCGTTGATGGAAACACTTGCCGCACGCAAGACATGTATCCCCCGCTGCCCAACTGCGGTTGGGCCTCTTATATCCATGCATCTTTGTGGCATGCATGGCTAAGGCCTGTCTGCTTTTCCACGAGGTTCCACATTCATCGCACCAGAAGGTGTCCCTCTGCTGCGGAATCTCTGCCTGTGGGAGGCGCGGTTGGGGCACAGTGACCCCTTGGTGAGCGGCTCTGTCAACAAATCTACGCTCCCAATCCTGCATGCCCACTTGATTCGCCTGCGATCTCGCACAAGCCTTTTCAGCGATCTTCAACGTTTTTCCCCAATCCTGGGCATGCATGATGTGCTTGAGCCAAGCCCGAACATTTTCTCCTTGGGGCAACTTTCTCCGAGGGGCATGCGCAACCAACCACTCACAGTCCTCCTTCACATGCGCAATCCAAGCACGGTCATCTCCCTCTGCCCCCAAAAGCATCGCCCACAAAATGGGCGGTGCTATGTGCAGAGCCCTTTTCACATACCGGAGCCTAGCCAAGGACAACCTCTGCCGAGGTGTCAGGGTGCCCAGCCGACCTGCCGCATCCCTTGCCCCCACCTCAAAGCAAGGCTTGCCCCCCTGCGCCTTACCCACCATCTCTGCCTGCCAGGCAGACAGATCTGCCTGCCACCGGTCAAGGTCCTGCCCTGCTACCCATGACCATACATGCACATTGTATGCGTGTCTGGTGACAACAGTGGCTTCAAAGACTTGCTTTTTGACTCTCATGTCAGCATGCTGATGCTTGTAGAGAGTCTTGCGCAGGGGACCATACGCACTGGCAGCCGCGGCCGCTCTGGCCCTCTTTTCACGCTCCGGCTTGGCCGACTCCTGGATCCAAGTTCCTAAGTGCTTGTAAGCATGTGTGACCGCTATTTCCTGGGGTCCGGCTTGGGTGGCCAGTTCGAGCTTGCCCTGCTGCTGGTTGTGAATCTGATCCCTCAAGATTTTACTCTTCCTCCCTCTCATTTGCAGGAGCATTTCCGTCTTGCCTTGATCGTAGTTGACCTGCAAGCCCCTCTGAGCCATCGTGTCATCAACCAGAGCCCCCAACACCTTCATGTGCGACACCAACGAATCACTACTATCCGCAGCCACCATGACAGCAAGATCGTCAAAAAAGACCACATCCAAGCAACCATTTACCACATGCCGGGGACCTTCATCGCTGAGGAGTTCATCCATGCGGGCCTGCGCCATACAAGGCACGCCCGCTTGCTTGATTCGCCTGTGCAAGTCTTTCATAGCCGACGTCATGGCCATGTTGAAAAGCACATCCCCTACTGGGTCCCCAGGCCTGGTGCCCCGGTGCGTCTGGACAACAGTATCTGTGCCTGTCATGCCAAAGTGACTTCCCGTCAACATGTCCGCCAAGACCTGTTCGTCATGACTGCCTCCCAAGCCAGCCGCATTGTCCTGCCTGGCTCTCTCCCTCAACCTATCCACTTCCTCCGACGCAACTCCAAGCTGGGCAAGCACCCTACAGAGACCTGCGTCGTCCAATGGGTGCTGCACCAACGCTTGCCGGATTACTGTGTAAAAGGCAGCTCTCAGATCCGTAAAAAGGACCCCCACTGACTTCTGCTGCCTATGCCCATGTGCAACCAGCGCCTGAACCATATGGTGGGCCATATCAACTCCATGCCTGCGTCTCCCACCCATCTGTGTGTCACATGCCTGGGACTCCCATTGGCCTGCCAACCGGTCCCTCAAGAGCGAGTGATGCATCTTAGCAAGATGATCCGAAACCAAAATAGCCCTGTATGACTGGGCCTGGCTGGCTGGCCCTTTGCCCTTGAACAACGGAACAAGCAACCCTCCCTTCCACGCTAGCGGCTCCCTCTGGATCAAGAGGGCCTTTGTGAAGAGCGGGAGCAACTTCCAACCCAACTCAGTTCCACCCGCTTTCAAGACTGCAACGTCCAATCCATCGGGACCTGGAGCTTTTCCATTTTTAAGCTTCTTGAGCTTGCCCATGATTTGTCCAATTCCCGGGAACGAGTCAACGTCTTTGGCAACCAACGGCAACTCAGGCACACGCTCAACCACTTCCACAAGTTGTTGCTGTATCATTACCTCCCCAGCTTCCTGCATGGCAAAATGTCTCATGAAGGTGTCTTGCATCTGCTGGTGTGTTTCACACACCTCTCCATCAAGGGTTTGCATCTTGGGGAATGCTCGCGCTCCTCCTTTCTTTCCAGAGCCAGGCGCCAAGACCCTTCGCACAAGGCCATAAACCGTTTTGGCGTCTCCGAGCTGCCCCGCCGCTTGCAAATTATGAAGCGCCTTGACCAAGTAAGCATTTCTGTCCCTCCGGAGCAGGTGCCTCAGGTTGGCATGTACAACCTTGATTTCCGCTCTCATCTGCTCATGCCACAGCTTACCATGGTCATCATGGCTGGTGCTTCTCATCAAAGCCCAAATTTGTTTCTTCCATGCCACCAAGGCCCAAGCTTCCTGCGACATCCAATATGCCTTCTTTCCACCCGTGCTTTTCCCAAAGACCTCCTGGCTCTTCAGCTTAATGGTGTCAACAAGCTGCTTGGCGTGCGTGTCTACATCCACGCCCCAATCAACGTGTTGCACCTCTTTCAGCTTTTCAACAAAGGCTCTCTGCAGCTCCGGGTCAACTAGCTTGCACGGGTCCAGCTTGGGTTCCTTTCGTTTAACCATGCTAATACATCCTTCGATTTCCAAGCACACTGGCAGGTGATCTTCGTGAATGCAGCCAGTGCCAAAATCCTCAACAACCCAAGATTTCTGAACCAGGTTCTCAAGACTGCCTCCACACATAACATAGTCCTTTCTAAACCAATTGCCCTTTGGGTGCTTCCATGTTGTGGTGCGCCCTTGATGCCATTGGCTAAAGGTGGAGGGCACGATCATGTCCGTCTTGGCACAAAACTTTTGCAGCGCTTGCCCAGCTTCGTTGGTTTTCTCAGCTCCCAGCATTCCATAGTGCTGGGTGAGTTCGTCAGCAAGCGGTGCATTAGCATCTGCCATGAGCACTACCTGTCTTCCAAAGCCAAACTTGTGGACTACATGTGACCTCAGTCTTCTGCCCAGCAAACATGGTCGGGGCGTGAGCAACTACCCACAGCCATTTGCCAATGCAGCCTTCGGAGGTGACCATAAGCAACCTGGGCTCAGCGTGCACCACTACATTTTGCATGTCCGCAAGGGTGACCAGTGATCCTTGCGGATCCCTCCCTACCGGCAACTGGTGGTTTACCCACAACTCGCACCCGTGGTGCACCGCTTGCCCGCACTTGCTCGCCCCTCCCCCAACGATCCTGTAGGAGACCGTGTCGAAGGAACATGCATCGGTGCGCGCTTCTTGGATTCCTATGACATGGACACCCATTTGGTGGGCCTGTCTGTCAATGACGTGTGTCTTCCCAAGCTCATGCCTACCCTGCTCAACTTCCTCTCCATGCCTTGATTTCCTCAAAGAGAGAACATTGCTAGTCATGAACTTGAGTTTCACCACCTGCTGTTCAATCTGCTGCCGCTGCAATCCAAACCTCAATTGCTCAGCAAGTTGGGGAGTCGTCCCGGGTCTTCTGATACGCAGTGTTCCGCTCTGGTGCAAACCCGGCATAGCCCTGGCAAAATTTGCTTCGGTCTGAACTCTGTCAATGACCTGTAGCCACTTAGCCTCTTGAGGTTGACTGGCAAGGCCATGAAGGTGGCTCCAATTGACCTTTCCCAGCCTCACCCCCTTGGCGGCAAGTTTAGCCAGGGCATCAGCAAGTTCATTCCAAGGCATTCCCGTGTGCCCTCGAACTTCCTGCATGCTCATGTCTCTGTCCCGGAGGAGGCCTCCAAACTCACGCACCAATTGTGACAACACAGGGTGGGCACTGACAATGTGCTTTCCTTGCGCAAGCCTTTCACTGAGCTGAAGATCAGGGTAAATAGTTGATTGTTCAGGAACCTCATTGGCCAACACATACGCCTGAGCAACCAACAGAGCAGTGAACTCGGCAGCAATGTTTGTTGCCGCTTCAGCTCCTACCCACTCTTCTTGCTGGGGGGCCAATTCAACTGGTCCAGCAAGGACGCCCTTAAGCGCAAAGGCACATCGTCCTTCCATGTCTCTGGTTTCACTGACAACAACCACCGCCCAACCAGCTCCCTCCTTGGACGTGGACCCGTCAACAAAACAATGCACAATCGGCATCTGCGTGGATTCGAAGACCCCTTGCCAGGCCAACGCGATTTGGGCATGCTCATGCAAATCCACATTGCTAGGGACCTTATCTAAAGGGGCCTCCCAAGGCTCACAAAGTTTGGCAACCCACCCCAGATCCCCAAAGGCCGAATCGATTTGGAGAACAGGGGGAGTGAGGGCCCGACTCAAACAAAGGGTAGTCCTACTACACTGAGCTTGGGTGCCTGTAAGCGGCATGTATTGCGCACTGGCCTTCCCCGCACAATTGGCGGTGTCCGACGGAACGACCAGGCTATTTACAAAAAGGCGCTTGTGCCTGATCTGTGACTCACCTGAGGGTGCCCCCGAAGTTGCCTCTCTCCCCCATGTCATCATATCGCCACCACTGCCTTCTGCTCGCGTGTGGCCGAGGAGCTCGAGCATCTTTCTTCTGGAACGCCTCTACGCGGATGTGGTCTCCACTGCGTAGTATGAAGCGCTCATGTTCTTCGCATTGCTTGCCCTGCACCCAGAGAGTGGTGTGTAGGGCTCGATCCTGGAACAGGCCCACCGCATTTGCCGCTTCGATGAGCTCCTTCACATTGGCAAATTGGTGCGCCACCCTTGCTTCCCTATGCAGCAACTCTCCATTCCACAGGATGTCAACCAGAATCAGTCGATCGGCTGGTTGGGGCAAGTCCTGGATGGTCTCAAGGAGTATGTGGACCTGCTTCTCACCTTTCCGTCCAGCTTCTGCTTGCTTCACCAGATGCCACCTGAAGATTTGGTTGTCCTCCTGCCACATTTCCTGCATGAGCTGCGTGGTGTAGCTCTCATCCTTTCCCGCTCTGCTACCATCACAAGGGGCAGCTCTGGGCACAAAGCCAAGCCTCCTCGTCACCATGCTGCACATTCCATGGCTGCCCAAACTAATGGACGGGGAGGCTACACTACTCTCCAGGGTACTTAGAGGAGCCCATCCCTCAAAGCTCACACTCGCAGTGTTAGGGCTAGATTGGGCCGCCCCTGACCCACTGGACATTGCTGGCGCTTCATTTATGGATTTTTGCGCATCTTGCCTGGGTCTTTTACTGCCCTGCTCACTAGACTGGCAGTCTTGGCTCGAAGGCTCTTCATCTTCTTTTGTGGGGTTCTCATTGCAGTAGATGGTGAAAGCTGAGCCTGGGTCTACCTGTCTCTGTACATCTGGCTGATCAGCCGGCCAATAAACATCTGCCATGAAGGTGAGACAGTCTTCCGGCTGCGTGCACAGGTGGCTGATTCCTGCGTGAGCAATTGCAGCAACTCTAGTGATTTCCCGAGGCAGGAACATCACCCTTCTCTCAACAGGTCCGTGCTGTCCTCCTCTCAGCAACTGAAGCAAAATTGGGCTCCATCCCGGCCGTAGTTCATGCCGATCGAGGACAATGACGTCGGCTTGCTCATGTTCGTCAATTTGGCCAAGTGGTGGGGAAATCTCAAAAATCTGAGGTTGCCTGAGCCCCGTGTCTGCCCATGTCCTCATGACGTATGGCTCCATGTCCTCATTGTCGTGCCTGGCTTGGTCCGGGAAAAGACAGTAACGCGGTACTGCATGCTGGTACCTGAATGACTGCAGATTCGACAGCTGCTTTTCTTGAGGCTGCCCATGATCCGGAACTCCTTGAGCTGCCTCCCTTTGCAGCTGCTCAATCATCCCAGGGTCAGGTTCCACTTGCAGAGGTAGGTGGTGTTGCACATGAAATGCAATCTGCAGAAGCGCCCCTGGTCGGACATCATGTACCACTTCCGGGCGCACCTGTTCCCCTTGCAACTGAACCTCACAGTCATGTACTTGACAAAGGTGCTGCATGTCCACCTGCTGGAGGATTTGCTGCCTGTTGACCCTCGGTGGGATGACTCTGGCATGGTAGTCCGCTGGCCCTCCCGGCACTGCTAGCTCTAGCAACACCGGCTGCATTCGGAAAATGGCTCTGGTACGCTGCGCCGCCGTGGACATGATGTAGACCGTCGCCATGGTATCCCCGATGAGGTCCACAGGTTGCGGCTGCACAAAGTCCAATTGTAACCCCGGCAGCTCTTGTACTTGCCAAGCCGTGGCAACTAACTCGAGCAACCTTTGTGGGGTGGTGTCTGCTTCAACCCACAAGGCTCCTCTATCTCGTCCCGGCATGAAGGTGAGAACCAATCGCCTGGGCCGCATCAGTAGGAGAGGCCCATCTGGATTACGTTCTCGTTCCCCTCCCTCTTCTTGGCCGTCTTGATGTTGATTAGCTTCTTCCGGCTCTTGTGCACCGAAAGGTCCCGTCATTTCCTGCTCATAGGCCTCCGGCTCCAAGCTTCCTTGCCCTCTAGGATGTGCATGTTGCGTGTTGTCCTTGCGTTCTCGCAGCAGGTCACATGGCTGATGGCTAGTGCTACCTCCGGAAGATCTGACAGACACTATTGGTCCATCAGGGGTCCTATGGCCTTCACTGGGCCAAAGTGGGTTTTTTGGGCAGGGGTCCCGATTGGAAATGTCCAGAGTTCTTCCTCTGAACGCAGGGCGCCCCTTGCCCATCATGCTGGTGGCTCTTCTCTTGAGCTCTTGCTGGGGTCTTTCCGTTTTGTTCTGACATCTTGGGTCCAGTGATATTTTTTTTTGACGCCAGTCCCGGTGGGTCTATTGCTCTGAGCTTCGCCTGAGCTTGACTTTCCACCGCAACTGAGTCCCAACTTATAGCCTTGCTAACTACCACTCCTCCCTGCAAATCGTTGAGATCTGCTCGGATGGGACCATCTTGGTTGAAGAACCTTATCTCCGTGGTTGTAGCAAAAGCAACATCATTGGGTTTGGCCCGCCTTTGAAGGTTAGGCTCTTTGTCACTTTTCTTGATGCTGGTGACAATCTGATGTGCCCCTTCATCGCACCAGCATGATTCGTTCCACTCGTTTTTGATTGGGGTCTGCAATTGAAAGTGCAAGCAATTTGCTCTCAAGCTAGCGAGCTGTACACTTACAAAGTCTTCTTCCCATGTGACCGAGTGAGACCAATGCAAAAGCGAAAAACAGTGATCTGAGCCCTTCACTCGCTGTACATGTCCGACAGTGGCTCCCCTGCTCACGTTTGCCACTGAAGCTGCCCATTGTGCCCAACATGTACAGCAGCTCAAAAAAGCGCGCCAGGCTCCTCCGGCTTCTCTGCGTGCTTGCCCCTTGGACTTCTCTCCCTTTCGTACTTCTCCTTTTCGCCTTTGCCCGCCTGGACCATGCCCTCTTGCTCCTTTGCGGCTTGTAGCAACTGGCTCATGGATTCTTTGACCTTCGCACCCTTGGCTTTGAATGCTGCCATGGACGCTGTGTCGGCCATCTCCTGCTGGGTGTCCATGACATTCTCCTTGGACTCCTCTGATGGTTCCCCTATCTCCGCCACTTCTGCCGTGGCATCCTTGAGCCCTTGCTTGGCCTTTTTCAGGGATTCCTCCGCTGCCTGGTACTGCTCCATGAAGTTCTCCTCCTCCTCCACGAACTGCTTGATGTGCAACTGCCAGGTGTTGATGCTCTCTGAGAGGTAGCCCTCCCATGCTTTGAGCCTTGATGAGTAGGCTGTCTGCATGGTTTCGAGGTGCTTCTTCGCGTTGCCCAACTCCGTGGTGCGCTTGTGGATGTCCCTGGTTCCCTGAGCCTCCGCATCTCGAAGGGCCTGCCTTAGCGACTCCGGGATGCTGTCCTCCGGGAGTTTCTTGACCTCCGCCAGGATGGCACTGAGCTGGTGTTGCTGCTCTGGTGGCTGATGCTCTTCCTTGGGCGGCCATGATGGCAAGGATGCCACAGGCCATGAGGGCCAGGAAGGCCCGGAAGGCCCACCTTTGACTTCGGGTTGGGGTTTTCCTTTCCCTTTGCCCTTTCCCTTGGGGGGGCCCTTGGCTGCTTGCACAGTCGCCCATGGCGGGGGGGGAGCATGCTTGATCTGATACGTGCTGTAGGCCGAGTCCCACCATTCCGTGCCGGGAGCCTGCTGGTGAGCACTGGTTGCTCTTGTCCTCTGAGACTGGCTCCTTTTGCGTGGGCTTTTGGGCCTCTGGCTGCTCCTTGCGGCTGAGGCCTTCCATGCCTCCGTTGTGACGTCCCACCTGCTGCCACATCTTTGGCAGTAGGTTGCCTTCGCCTTGTTGAGGATGCTGCATTGTGCACACCTCCATGGTTCCATAGGCCACTCTACTCGGCTCTGCCTTTGAGCCGAGTGGTGCCCCGCCAGGATGATCTTGGCCTTGTGGATGTTCTCCTGGGTGCGCTCCACGGGCTTGAGGACCACCAGGCGTGCCCAAGTTCTCCGCCTCCGGTCCTTGCGGTGTCGAGCGGACTCCTTGGTCGTGTTGGGTCGCGGGCCTGAGAGGCCACGCTGGGGTTCGCCTCGAGGTCTCCCCCCTCGAGCCAAACGCCTAAGGGTGAATTATAATATTTCACCAACCTGAAATAAGGTCGTTATGATTCACCCAGAATTATGCACCATCTCAGAAAGCCTGGAATGACGACTCCCGGGTAAATACCAACACACAATGGCTTCAACCATGGTTTCAAAGTGGTCGGGTGGGAACGGATTTTGTCCATCCACAAGCTGCTACTGTGACAAGATACCTGGGTCGTTCTCCTCGAAACCGCAGATTGTGATTGGAGTTAGCACGTGTTACAAGACTTGATGGTTCTCAGCAGGGAACGTGGGAATGGCATCCGCTATGGCTTCCTCGAAGGGAATCCCCAGGTTCATTCCCAACACCTTGGGTCGGGCCCTACTGGGCACCAGCAAGAAGATATACGTAGTAGATATCGTCACCCAACTCTGGGTACAACGTGCACAAGGTATCCAGACCCGTTGCTGACTCGCCCAAGGATCAATCAACATCTTTCGTGGCCACTCCAAACTCAGTTGTTCAGTGACCCTGGGAAAAAAAATGGAACCCTTCTTTTGGGGCTTGGACCATTTTAGTGGGGCAGCCACCAAAAAAAAGGAAAATAATTGGAGCCACTGGACAACTGAGCAAAGATAAAGGTCAGCGAGTGCACAGCTGAGACTGTGCAATATATGTTGTTCGGTGCCCTTTGCGGGGGCCGGGAGAGAAAAAAGGGAGGGCTAAAGCAAATCGCGGCTTTCAGGGGAGTCCATCATGTTCAGGTCGAGCCAAAAACTCATATGACTCACTTGCCCTGGTCGGACCTGGCATACAAGGTGATCACCTGTTGGAACCTTGACTAAACACGGGAACCCAAAACAGGAAAACCCAAAGGTCCTTTCAGGTCGGTTCGCTTTGGTTGCAAGTGAGATGATTGCAACCATCAAACCACTCCGTCTCACACACTCTCAAATGCACCTCCATCTCGATCTCTTGTGGTGTCTGACCTCGTGAACTTTCGAAATCCAACACCCCGAAACGGAAGCCCAAAGTCACAAAACACGTGAAGTTCCGGAAACACAAGCCCAGTGCTTCCAGGCAACCCACTATAGTGGGGGCTACCTCTGGGCCTTACATCATGGTGTCCCCTGGTTTTACTATTGTGGCTTGCCTGGAGGCACTGGAAAAAAAAAGTATGGAATATTTGGGTGCGTCTTCTTATGAGCCCCGCCCCTGTTTCAGTTGTGTAAGGGACATCCGTAGCAAAAAACCGCTGCCATCGGGGGATTGCCGAGGCTTCCCCTGAGCAACCGCTTAGTTGCTGCTGCCTCGAAGTACTGTCGGTACCAGATAGACCAAACCAAATGGAATATCGCTTTCGCAAATGATTATTTACTCCAAACATGAGAAGGGGGAACCCTATACTCAGTTGCCCAAAGGACCTGCAACTAAAAGGTTAACCTTTTGAGGCCATGACCAAATATGGACCAAAACGGAAAAGATTCGCCCAGACCCCAAAATTGCAGTGGCCGGT